AGGGAGGATTCCTTCTGATGCAGTGAAGTTCTTCCTCAACCGGTTTTCATTCCTGTTCTTCTAAAGTAAATGGCCTGTATGCTTCCAGCGATATTTGTTTCTATTTTACCTCTGCATTTATAAAGCATTCTTTTTTAACTAAGAAAAAAACACAATTTCCTCCATCTTTTGGTTGCAGAGAACGGAATCATATACCAGGTGGTGTTAGGAGAAACATCACTTTCTGGTGAAACTGAAACCAATGCTGGGCTTCCAGGGCAGGTAGGAGGAAAATTTCCTGTGCCCCCCAAAAGTGTAAATATCATTAAAGCAAGAAGTATTCAGTCCATCTCTCTACCCCCTCCCCCCAGAAAATTTAATCTCTGTTTCAATTTGACACCGTTTCCAATTCTGGACATCCACCTGGCTTGTCCTTATCTTGGTCAGCTACTTTCCAATAAAAGGATAGAGTTGGAGCAGCTCTGGAGGATGCTAAAAAAGAGCTGGAACTGATGGCTCAGGAATGAGTTTTTGGTTGGGCATTCAGGGGCATTGAGCCCTGGGAGATGTAGTGAATTTAGTCAACCTTTGGGACCAAGGTGGTGCCAGAAGATGATGGAGAATGAAATCATTCCCTGTACTCTCTCGCATTCTGAAACCAGCCAGGAAAATATCTCCGGAGATTCTTAGTCCTCCATGTCATAGTTGTCCCAAAGGTGCTTTTTTCAAGAGGCAACAGGACTTCCTTGTTTTTCTTCGAAGATGTTTCACTTCTCATCCAAAAAGCTTCTTCGGCTCCGAATGGATAGAGGGGAAATGGAAGGATTTCTACTCCTTGCAGACGGATGGTCATTTGCCTTCTTTTTAGAGAGTCATTGAGGCCGCTTGGAGATTTATCTGTGTTGCTACAACACAGTCCTTTCAGTGCTCCCAAGAAAGCTCCACACCCATTTGCTCTACTCAGGTGAACCTGGTGACGCAGATAAACCTCCATATGGCCTCAACTACTCTAAAAGGACTGCAAATGACCAGCTATCTGCAAGGAGCGTAACTCCTTCCATTCCCCTCCATCCACTCAGAGCTGAAGAAGCTTCTTGGATGAGAAGCAAAACATCTTTAAAGAAAAATTTAGAAAGTCCAGTTGCCTCTTGAAAAAGCATCTTTGGGACAGCCAGGAAAACATTTGTGAATTTCATTGCTTCAAAGGTTTCTGAGAAAACTTTACTTTCTTCAGCTTTTCTATTAGTAAGAAACTTTTCCTTCCTCTTTCAGGGTACCATATCATTTAAGGAGTTGTTTGTCTTCTTTACCAAGGAGGAGTGGGACCTGCTTGATCCCAAACAGAAAGCTTTGCATGGAGAAGTCATGCTGGAGACCTCCTGGAATGTAGCTTCTCTGTGTAAGAAATCCCCTATCCAAATATGGTGTTTTGTAATTGGAAGCCATCTGTTTTAGAATAGAATACCGTGTTTCTCATATAATAAGGCCGGGTCTTTTTTTTTTTTTTTGAGCCCTGAAAAAATGGCTAGGCCATCTTTTCGGGGGTGACTTAATTTCCCCCCCCCCTTGCATCTTCGGGCGGGCGGGCAGCGACGGCTTGGATGTTGACCTCGGCGTTGGTGGGGCACTTCATATTGGGGTCAACACAGGAAGCACCATATCCAGGTGTGCAACAAAAGTGCTTCCTAACAGCAAGCCCCCCCACCATTCCCCCCCATTTTGCATGTTTTAATATAGGCCCTAATTTGGGGGGAGGGGCTTAATTTCATTTCATGCCTATAAAACATGCTGGGACTTCCTATTGGGGGAGGCCATATTGTTGGAGAAACAGGGTAGAATAGCATAGCATAGCATAGCATGGAACAGAACAGAACAGAACAGAACAGAACAGAACAGAATAGAATAGAATAGAATAGAACAGAATAGAATTCTTTATTGGCCAAGCGTAGTGGAACACACAAGGAATTTGTCTTGGTGCAAATACTCTCAGTGTACATAAGAGAAAAGATATATTCGTCAAGAATCATAAGGTACAACACTTAATGACAGTCATAGGGTACAATAAGCAATCAAATCATCCTAGGAGCCAGTCAATATAAATCATAAGGATACAAGCGACAAAGTTACAGTCATACAGTCACAAGTGGGAGGGGATGGGTGATAAGGAGTGATGAGAAGGTTCTTTCTTTTATGATTCTTTCTAAGGTATTCTACACTTGAGATACCAGGCTGGCCATTTGAATCTGTGAGCTACAATCCAGACAGTGAGCTTCAAATAGGCAGCCTTTGCAAAGTGCTACCTGTTAATATTTGATACTGATTTGTTGGAGGTGGTAGGCATTAGTCTTGGTCTTTATTGACCTTCAAGCATAGGTATCTTCCTCACTGGATGTTCTGCGTTCAACCCTTCGACTATGCAGTGCATTTAGCTTTGCATAGGCTGACCTTCAGGAAAGGAGGCCTTACCTAGGTATATATTCCATTTTTCTATGTGGTCTCATACTTTAGAGGTAGTCCTCACTTAATAACCGCTTGTTCAACAATTATTCAAAGTTACAATGGTGCTGAAGAAAGGTACGTTCAACCAGCCCCCGAAATTACAGTCATTGTTCTTCCCCCACAATCAGATGATCAGAATCCACAACCACAGGAGCACTTTAGTTCCACCCCCCCCCCACAGCTATCTTCCCCTTTTATATCTTTTTTGGACCCCTGTACTCTGTGGCCCCTGCTGCCCTAGCTCACCTTTGCCATCTTCTTATAAGGTAGTTGCTGGCTATATAAGGCTTTCTTCTCCAAGTTGTGCTCAAGTGTTTCCTCCTGAGACATAGAGAAAACGGCCTCATATTCTGGCAGCCACCTTGTGAAGAACTAAGAGTTGATAGTGATTTTGATTCTTTAATTTGGATCAAACATGCGTCCAGGGATTCACGATGGGCAATGCAAAAAATGAAAATTTTAAAAAATGTTTTGCTCACTCAGAGTATTAGAACTCAGGATTCCTCCATTAAATGTAAATGTGGGATTGATTGGTTGATTGATTGACTGAAAACACATAAGATTTTCTTCATGTTGATTTGGGTTTTGAGGTCTTATAGCAATAGCACTTAGATTTATATACCACGTCACAGTGCTCTGCAGCCCTCTCTAAGAGGTTTACAGAGTCACCATATTGCCCCCAATAATCTGGGTCCTCATTTTACCAACCTTGAAAATATGGAAGGCCGAGGCTGTCAGGATTCCAGCAGTTACCCCAAAACCTTGAGCAGGTCAGGATCGTAGTGCCGAATTGCAGGCAGTCGGCAGTCAGCAGAAGTAGCCTGAAGTATTCATTCTAACCACTGCACTACAATGGCTCACAGCACTATACTCATTGCCACTGGAAGTAAATCCATCCACTTTATTATGGTTGTATTTTTCTTTATGCGAAAAAGACTGATCTTCCAACTTTCCAGCGGTAGAGCTTTCTCCGGAGACTCGGGTCTTTGCGTGTATTTGAAATAGGATAATTTGAATATGGTTGTTTGATTTCTTGGTTGTCCCATGTTATTTACATGAGGCTTCTCTATGAGAAAGAGAAGGAATAACTTTTTTCCATTGTTTTTTCTCTCTTAATCAGGTAATGAGCAGAAGAATGACATTTACCAGGAACCCGAAGATAAACCTTTACAGGTTTTTAAGGTTAAAGTGGGAGAAGAAACCATCCAAAATCAATGGCAACCAATAAGTGAAGATGGAATCCAAATAAACGATCAACAGGGAATAAACCATTCTCCTTTATGTCTGGAAATCTATGATTTGCTGACCCAAGAAGATCTTGATAGAAAGAGGATGGGGCAGGATTTAGACTTTAATAAAATATTTGAAGAACAATCAAACTTCACTCACCCATGTGAATGGACACAGAGAAGGAACTGGTGTGATCAGAATCCTCCATCTTATTGGGGGGATGAAATGGAGAAAAATGCATTAGAATGTAAGGATTATGAAAACAACTTCAACTACCTCTGCAAACCTATTTCCCATAAAATGAACCGCCTTGAAGAGAATTCATACAAATGTATAGTTTGTGAGAGGAGCTTCACAAGGAATGACAGACTTATCACCCATTTAAGAATTCATACAGGGGAGAAACCATACAATTGCACAGACTGCGGAAAGTGCTTCACGAGGAACGATAAACTTATCGCCCACACTAGAGTTCACACAGGGGAGAAGCCATATAAATGCACAGAGTGTGGAAAGAGCTTCACGAGGAGTGATAAACTTGTCAACCATATCAGAATCCACACAGGGGAGAAACCGTATGAATGCTCGGAGTGTGGCAAGAGATTCACAAAGAGTACAGATCTTACTGCCCATAAAAGGATCCACACAGGGGAGAAGCCCTATAAATGCACAGAGTGCGGAAAGAGCTACAGTCACTCTAGTAATCTGAGTACCCATAAGAGTATCCACAAAAAGGAGAAACCGCATAAATGCACGGATTGTGGAAAGAGCTTCATAAGGAGCACAGATCTTACTTCCCATAAAAGGATCCACACAGGAGAGAAACCACATCAGTGCATGGAATGCAGAAAGAGCTTCACTCACTACAATACCCTTACTTCCCATAAAACCATCCACACAGGGGAGAAATCATATAAATGTTTGGAATGTGGAAAGAGCTTCAGGACAAACAGTTCTTTAACTTCCCACAAAAGGATCCACACCGGCGAGAAGCCATATAAATGCATAGAGTGTGGAAGTAGCTTCCGGACAAGTAGTTATCTTACTTCCCATAGAAGAATTCACACAGGGGAAAAACCCTATCAATGCCCGGACTGTGGAAAGAGCTTCAATCTTTCTAGCACCTTTGCTTTCCATAAAGCGGTCCATACAGGGGAGAAACCCTATCAGTGCATGGACTGTGGGAAGAGCTTCAATCATCCTAGCACCCTCACTTCTCACAAAAGGACCCACACAGGAGAGAAACCCTATCAATGCACAGAGTGTGGAAAGAGTTTCAGTCACCCTAGCACACTCACTTCCCACAAAAGGATCCACACAGGAGAAAAACCTTATCACTGTGTAGAGTGTGGAAAAAGTTTCAACCACTCCAGCAATCTTGCTTCCCATAAAAGGATCCACACAGGGCAGCGACAATATAAGTGCCTAGCATGTGGAAAGGGTTTCACTCAAAATTCTCACCTTATTTCCCATCAAAAAATCCACAGTGAAAATTAACTATATAGGGTAAATGCATAAATGTGGTAAAAGCTTTCATTTTGGGGATTTGATCTGATTACCCATGAAGGAAAGTGCATGGAAAATTAACTGGAGTGTGTGATGGTTCATTTTAGTTTCCCACAAAAGGAAGTATTTGCATACGCCAATTCACTACTAATTTATCTGTGATCACACCTGGCCTTTGAGGGTAGGCAATATCCTATCTTTCAAAAACTGGTTGTGCCGAGGAGGAAATTAAAATTTGATTTTCAAGTAGTATGTGTTGTGGATCGCCAGCAGATGGCAGCAGTATCAGACAGTGAGGAAGAAAGGGAACCAGTCAGGGAGTCTGGAGAAGACTTGGATGAGGGTCCTGCGTCCGATTCAGGGACGGGGCCAGGACCATCTGGGAGTGGGGTGCTGCCTTTGGAGCCTTGCAGCAGCAAAGCAGAGGACCCAGGGGAGCCTGTTCCCAGTGCACATGTGCGCAGAGCTGCTAGAAGGTGAGAGCAGCTGAAACAGAAGGGGCGACTAGGGAGTAAGGCTGGGAGGTGATTGCCCCTCCCATAAGGGATAAAAGTCAGACCTCAATGGCGAAAGCTTTGCAGGAAGCAAAGCAGTTCAATAGATTCTGAGTCCTCCTTGAAGCTCTGTGTATTCTGGTCATTTTTTTTCTGGTACTTCGGGTGGTTTCTGTTATAATTAATTTGGATACTTCTGTTTTTGGCAGCATTCCACAGCACTGACAGGTGTGTGCTTATCTTGGGATTGGTTCTGGCTGTGAACGAAAGTAATTCCCAGCATTGCATTAAAATAGGTTTTGCTTTTAAAATAAGTTTTTGTTTAATGATGTCTGACGAAGCTTGGGTCAGAACAGTATAAACATCAGCATATTAAGTATACTTTATACATTTTCTGTCTAGTATTTTTAATGATTTGTCTTTTCATGTTAAGAGTTGTAGGCTGTTGATCAACCTCACAAGTGACTTTGAGAGCCACATCCAAATTTTCCAAGGGCCCACGTGTGGCTCTTCTCTCCCTATGATTGTGCAGAGTTTACTCTGAATTCTCTGATGATAGGTTTGATTCTGGTTTGAATTTCTTTTTTTTTCCTCCCAAGCAATGTGTCAATTATTTTATACATACAATCTTATGAAAGATTTTATTAAGCCTAAATATAAACCTAACAGAAATTAATATATAAAGGAAAAAAGAAAACAAATCCAAGAGAAAGTTAAAAGTGCAAGAACAGAACAAAGTGTTGATTTTTAAATGAAAAATTGAAAAAAGATACAAAGGAGTAGCTTCCCCTTTTTCCTCCCTGTTCCCCCTCCTTCCTATCATGCTGGTAAGTGTGTGCTGCCAGAAGGGAGGCAGTGAATGAGTGGCCAACAGGTGTAGAAGTGCCAAGGAACTGAGGGAGCATGCATAATTTTTCCATTGATCTCCCTGCAAGCTTCCTATAAGCAAAAACTTTGCTAGTGGGAAGGTGACAAGGAGTGTCAGCTATCATATCCGTTCCTTCCAAGCTCCCTGTGGACTTGTGAGAAGCTGTCAGGGAATATTGAAAAGGAAGATCATCTTACCACAGCCGACCATGGCAACACTGAACAGTGCAGTGCCGCTAAAATGTCAAAATTTCCCCCAAATTTCATTCCCTTGGAAGTAGCAATAGCAATAGCACTTAAGACTTATGTACCGCTACACAGTACTTTTACAGCCCTCTCTAAATGGGTTTACAGAGTCCGCATATCACCCCCAACAATCTGGGTCCTCACTTTAAACATCTCGGAAGGATGAAAAGCTGAGTCAACCTTGAGCCCGGTGAGATTCGATCTGCCAAATTGCAGTCAGCTGGCAGTCAGCAGAAGCAGCCTGCAGTACTGCATTCTAACTCCTGCACCACTGCGGCTCTTCAGTAATGGGTCCTGGCATTCTGTAAGTTAGCTGATTTGAGGGATCTTTGTTGACAAAGTTTTGGCCTGTGATGTAGCATTTCACCCAGTTGAAGGTTACAAAGTATCAAGACACAAAAGTATACTAGAATGTTAAAATGGGTGTCAGCAATTAAAGACACTGAGCTTATCAGCTGAAAAACTGTCAGCCAGAGTTTGAGACCCGATTGTTGCATGACGGGATGAACTCCCATTGATTGCCGCAGCTTCTGCCCACCTAGCAGTTTGAAAGCATGCAAATGTGAGTAGATTAATAAGTACCATTTTGGTGGGAAGGTAGCAGTGTTCCATGCACTATTGGCATATAGCCATGCTGGCCACATGACCACGGGAAATGTGTTTGGACAACACTGGTTCTCTCCCAAGAAACAGAGATGGGCACTTTGCCCTAGAGTTGGACACGAGTGGACAAGGAAGCCTTTACCTTTTTTTAGAGCTGTTATCGGTTGTGTCATAATTTCGGAGACATTTTAGAACAGAACAGAACAGAATAGAATAGAATAGAATAACAGAGTTGGAAGGGACCTTGGAGATCTTCTAGTCCAATCCCCTGTTTAGGCAGGAAACCCTACACCTCTTCAGACAAATGGTTATCCAATCTCTTCTTAAAAATTTCTGGTGTTGGAGCATTTACAGTCAGAGGCAAGCTGTTCCACTGATTAATTGTTCCAATTGTCAGGAAATTTCTCCTTAGTTCTAAGTTGTTTCTCTCCTTGATTACTTTCCACCCATTGCTTCTTGTCCTCCTCTCAGGTGCTTTGGAGAATAGCTTGACTCCCTTTTTTTTTTGTGGCAGCCTTTTTCTTACCTAAACAGAGAAACTGAACGTCTAACGGCAAAAAAGCAGTGGGTATAATTTGCAACTTCCTGCTAGCTTGACTATGTCCGACTGCCCTCCCGCAATGAATGGTGGGACCAGTTCATCCTGGCATCCAGAGGGCTAGGGTAGGACCAACCTACTAAATTTCTAGGGGGCAAAGTGGGGCACCGATGCAACCACAAATTTTCCAAATTTAAATCCCACAGGAGTCATGGGTTCTAGATTTTGGATGCATTCTGTAACTTAGCTCATTTGAGGAACCTTGGTTAAAAAAAAGTTTTGCCTTGCAATGCACCATTTTGACCAGTTGCAGGTTACGGGCATGAAAATTTTTGTACTATATAAATAATCTTTTCTCTGATTATTAAGTTATCTCAGAAATTCCATCATTTTTATTAACCATTCTTCCGTTGTAGGTAATCCTGAAACTTTCCATCTTTGTGTATATAATAATTCTGCTGCAATTACCATGTACAAAAAATAAAATTCCATGACTTTTCCCAACTTTTTTTTAAATTTTATTGGTTTTTAAAAACAAACATAAACAAACAAAACATAAAAACATCAAGCTATCTTCCATAGGTGTACATACAGTGTGCCGGTTGGTTTACAAATTGTTTTGTGCTTCCATTTTGTAGTCTTCAATTACAATTACATTGCATATAATCTCATATTGTCAATCAGAAATTAAATACCTTAGTATCATTATTAATCAATCATTTGACTATACTTTTATTCATTCATGTCTTACAAGATAATCATAATTTACTTAGTTTATTTTATAACAGTTCATATTATCATCCCAAACCTATCCTAAAATCATTTTGTAGATATAATAAGAAAGAAGTACATCTTTATATATTTATTATTTTCTAAAAGTCTACATATTTCATTACTGCATTTTATTGTCTAACCATTGATAGAAAAGATCCCAAATTTTATAAAATTGTTTATCCTCTTGTTCTCTAATTTCAAATGTCAATCTACTCATTTCAGCACATTCCAATATTTTCTTAATGATTTCCTCCTGTGATGGTATTTTCTCATTTTTCCAGTTTTTAGCAAATACAGTCCTAGCTGCTTAATACATTAATACATTTACAATCAGGTATTTCAAATCTTTACTATGTATTTCAGGTAAAATTCCCAATAAAAATATCTCTGGTTTCAAGTCTATATGTTTTTCTGTCATTTTTTCCAACCACATGTGGATTTTAGTCCAGTATTTTTTAGTGTCCATACAAGTCCACCACATATGGTAATATGAGTCAGGTGTCTGATGACATTTCCAACATTTTTCGGATTTGTTCTTGAACATTCTTGCTATTCTTGTCGGGGGGAAATGCCACCTGTAAAACATCTTATACAAATTTTCTTTATATGCTGTTGACGTCATTTTATAATTTTGAGACCACAATTTTTGCCATTTTTCTAAATGAATCCCATATCCAAAATTCTTCCCCCAACCAATCATAGTATCTTTAACTTGTTCTTCTTCTAGTTTAATTTCTAATAAATATCCATACAATTTTTAATCACCTTTTCATCAGTATGTGTCAAAATCTTATCTAAGTCAGTCAGTTTATCATAGAAACCTTCTGTTTTAGAATCTTTATCATACCTTGAGTGTATTTGCGCTTAGGAAAACCAATTCATCTTTATATCTTGTTCCTCTAGTTTTTGCATAGATTTAAGTTCACCCTTTTCATTCAAGATTTCACCATATCTAACTGTTTGTTCCTTTTTGTATATTATAGGATACGAAAATGCTTCAATAGTCGATAACCAGACTGGAATTTTCAAATAACATTGTCTTTTAATCTTCTCCCAGTTTAACCACAGAGATTCCCGTATATAATGTCTTCTAAAATACCCCTGTGTTTTAGTTCCTTTATACCATAAAAAAGCATGCCACCCCAACAACAAATCATGTCCTTCTAGTGTCAACAATCTAGTATTTCTTAGTGTTATCCATTCCTTAACCCAACTTTTGTGGATGATTCCTAAAAGAAAAAACTGTGGTTTCAGTTGTATATTAATTGTTAAAAATGTCTGAATTGGTATTCGGATCCAAAA